TTCTAAACTATGTATATATACATATAATTTGTAAATCATATATAAAAATATCTACCTTAGCCCAACTCAGCTAATTATACTTGTAGCTTCATATTTATTCTTAATATCTTCAAGTTTTAGGCTTGATTGCATTTACTTTCAATGTGTTTAATTTCTAAATTCATATTTTCATCAATTTAGAAAATATATAATTACTGCATAAAAAATGCAATATATATTTTTTACATTATAAATGAGGGGATGTGGGACTATATGTAAGTGTGTATTTAAAAAAATTCGAAAAAAATGGAGAAAGGTACCTTAAATTGACGTGATGCAATTAATTCACACAATATGACCCATAATGAAGTTATTGTCATATTCCCACTCTGAAAGAAGACGTTGTGTTACTATTCTAATCATTTAAATGAAACGAATATTTGTGTTTGAATAGGCCAAGTATTAACTCTTAATACATATTTTATCTTTTAATGTTAATACACGAATGGGATGGGTAACTTGTGCCTATATAAAAAAGTATATTTTTTTGAAGAAAAGTTATCTACCCCTATACATAATTGAAACTCTTATCAACAATTTAATCTAAGTATTTAATTATAAATTTTATTATACTTTCTCGCAAATAAATATAACATTGCCAGGGTAAATATTTTCAGATATTTTAATCAATCATTTATAACTTTTAAACACTTTTTCAGTTTTTTTTTCTTCCTAAAATTTAAAATTTCACAATTTAATTTATAAAGAAATAATCAATAAATAGCAACCGTTTTTATAAATATTATTTTTAAATACCGTTGCGTTCAATTTTTGCAGAAAAATTTTTTTAAAGGGATGTAATTGGATAAAAGATAAATCTTAAAATTTTAAATTGGGATTTAGTTTGAAAAAATTTTTATTATTAAATTTGAACAAACAAAAAAATTTCCGATTAGAATACTTAATTCTTTTTTTTCAGACAATTTTGATAAACATAATATTAAATTTTTATAAATTTTAAAAGATATAGATTAGATATATCATAAAATAATATATTAGAACATAGTGAAGCATAGACGTAGGCAAGAGGAGGCTGAAAATTCTCTCTGCCAGGCACATTTGTGATTTTTTAATTAGCATTTATATTATATCACCAAAAAATTGAATTAAAAATTTTATAAAATAATGATCACTCAGTCTAAATTTTTAAAACATAGAAAATGGATTGTTCAATTAAATTGATCATCTCTAACCTAACTTCCTTTAAACGATTACAAATATCTAAAAAATGACTAGTCAATATTTTTTAGTAAAAATCAGTTTTATATTATCCCAATTTTGATTAGAAATTTAATGAAGATCCCTATGAGGAAATAATATTGGAGAATAAATTCGGTCTTCAACATATAGCTAACAGGTAGTGAACAAACTCAGGTAAAAAACTATATAGAAAGAATTGAAGAAAAATATTATATAGGGACATTGTATAATAGAAAGGTATATAAATGTAAAATACGACAAAGTCAATATTTGGGTTTGGTAAGGGTTCAGTAGCCCCCCCCCTATAAACTATAGGGTAATTTATAGTTTTAATTTAGTATGGCGATATTATTGGGGTAAAGAGAACCTATTAAAGAATTTGCAGTAGGGGGGGGGGGGGGGGTAGGAGATCCTAATTGAATAGAGTGGGTTTTTGAAATAATTAACTCCCTTAGGTAATAACTAGTGTTGTTGATTTATAAAAACGGCTAACCCATTATAGTCAAAAAATATTATGCAAGCCTGGCGATTTTGCATAAATGGCTAATATTATTTTGGTTGAAATTATTTAATATCGGCTAAATCGAGTCGTTTAACAACAGTGTAATATCTAACAAAAAAAATTTATTTTATTTTCGATTTTGTTATTTTACAATTCATAAGGTTTCCTTTCCTGCGCCTTATATATTTTTGTATCAAAAAATTAATTATTAATAAAAATTACTATTCATTTGGGATGTAAAAAAAACATAAAATACAATAATGAAAACAAAAGGAAAAAATCAAGCTTATGTCACGAAATTCTTAAATTTTAAGAATTATATTTATCAAAAAAATAGCAGTTCAAACTTATAATTAATTATAATTACTAATTAATTCTCTAAAAAGGTAATTAGTTACTATTTACATATAATTAGTGTCTACAAGTCAATTTCGATATCAAAAATCTGTAACTAATTACAGTTTTGCTAAAAAATAATCATAACTACTTTTTTTTTATATGAACTAATTGGATTTTTTGGAATGTAATAACAAAAGTAGCTAGTTCCTTTTCAAGTTGCTTTTTAAAATAATGTAGATATTTTTATTATTCCTTATCTTTATTTGATGAATTTTTAAATTAATCCGTGCTTGATGAATATAATGTCTCACTCACATCAAGCCCTCCTGTAGAACTTTTGTTTAGTCTAAAGAAAGCTTTTATTGAGAAAAACGAGCACATCTATTGATAAAGTCAAATAGAATTTATTAAGATCCTTTTTTTGTGTGCAGATAAATATTATAGTGATATTTTTCAGTTGAAATAAATATTACTGGGTTTTCAGTTACTTCCTTCAAATTTCGTAAAAATTTCTATCATTAAAACTTGCTTGTTACCAAAATTATTTTGTAGAATAAATAAATAAGTTACTGAACTAGTTACTATTTACTTTTTTTTTAAATGCAACTATAAACTGTAGTTACCTTTGAATGTAACTAGTTAGTGTTTGCAACGGTCCGGTCCGACCGGTCTTATCAGACTTTTCGGTCCTATGGGACGGTCCCGTCCAACAACACGGTCCCACGATCCGGTCCGGTCCGACCGAAGACCGATTAAAGAATATAAAAGTTCACTATAAATTGCTTTATAGTTAATGTGTATGTACATGAACATACAAAATATGATTATTTAATGCCTAACACTTTATAATATCTAATTCATCGTTTACTTTTTATATTCTTCCGTTTCATTAAATTCAATATTCACATATTGATATAATTTATATTAAATAAATTTGTATTTTAATATTCTTTTGATTAGGCATTTGTGTATAATATAATAAAAATGAATTGATGATATAATTGAAATATTAATAGGGTAGTTTAACTATTCATTTTTAATAAATTTAAATGCAGAATAAAACTTTTGTAGCTTTATAAAAAAAAAATTTAGGTGGGACCGGACCGACGGTCCCACGGTCCGGTCTTATTTGACTTGACGGTTCATCAGTCCGGTCCCATTTTAGAAAAGAAGACCGGACCGTTGCAAACACTATAACTAGTAATTGTAACTAGTCACTTAACTTTTGACAATAATAATAATGGTTCCCAATATGTATGATCTCATATTCTTTATCTACCTAGGGTGATAATTAAAAAAATAGCTTGTGGAAAAAAAATACGACCTAAAAACCTAATGGAATACCGTAGAAAAAAAGACTGAGAAATCAAAAAACTGCAGAAAAAATATCTAAAGAGAATAAAAGCTTAAAAATAAAAAACTGTGTAAAAAAATATCTATTAAAGGGAAAATACAATTGAAACAAAATATATTCTCTTAGAGGAGAAAGTTTTTTTAGATGACTTTTGATATTTAAATTCATCTTATTGTATCTGAAAAGATAAATATCTAATAAATAAGTGGGCAATAGTAACCCTTTTTTCATACATGACAGAAATAGAACAATAGCCAATATTCTAAAGAAAAAGAACGCGGTATACGTTTGAAAGCAAACTCTCTTAAAAAAAATTATGGAAAAATATAGTAAACATTTAAGAACTTTTACAAAATTTTTAAAAACCATCGGTGAATGTATAAGCTCGGTAATTATCTTAGAATAATTTATATATTTAGATTTTATATAATTATAAGAGCTAAATTGTATTGTTGACCAATTTTTTTGTATTATTTTAGGTACAAGTTTTCTTTTCATTTTTAAGGTTAAAATTAATTGAAATAAAATTGATTGTTTAAAATATCTTACATCATTTGTTCTGTAATACTATCAATAGATATATAAGCATAATTAAATATAGCCCTAATAAGCAGGATAATTATTTGTGGGAAGAAATTGAATCTTAGAAAAATAAATTTAACGAATATCATATCCAAAACTTATATAATTATATAGGAGTGAATGATAATTAAAAAAGAATTATTATTCCATTTCGAAAGATAGTAGAAACAAAAGGCGGAAATTTATCTGCTAAGGACCCGGGACTCAGATAGCATCTTGTTACCACCTGTTTGCATTGAATATATGGTGGTTATAGATTTCAATGAAGTATAAATAAAGCAATCATCATCACCGATTTCAACTTTTGGGTATAAAATTATATTAAAAATCCTCTAAACAAAAAGCTTGCCGATGTTCATCCCCTTAATTAATTCAGCAAAAAAAATTATTTAAACTTAGGATATAAAAAATATCAAAGAATGATAGAAATTATTGTAATTGTAAAATCAATATTTTTACAATTGCCAATAATTACATTGTGACTACATATTTTTTATAATTATAATATCCTTTTTTATAATTTTAATATCTCATTTTTTTTATTTAGTAATTTTTAGGTATTTTAATTATATTTATAATTGATTAATACCCAATTTGTAGAACCTAGACAAGCTACCTTTAATTGAAATAAAATTTATATAAACAGAATAGTATCATTATAGAGTTTTATATTCTCAAAGTATAAATATGAAATTTAATATCAATATAGTTAATTCGCAAAATTCATTCACGAACGAAGCCAAAGAATCTTTATACATATGCCAAAAAATTCAATAGAAATTTAAATATAGTTATGGTTCTTGGGAACACAATTATGAAATACCATTTTATTATTATAGTGTTTTAATTTTATGGTGTTTTAATATTATAATGTTTCAAATATTATAAAAGAACATTTAAATAAATAAAAATTTTGATAACAGTGACATTCTTTATTAACATTACATATTTTTTATTTAACTATTGAAAATGATACTTTATTAGGCGATTTACAAAATGGTTGGTTCTGTAATGAAAATGCCAGAAGATGAATCAACTCCAGAAAAAAGAACGGAAAAAATATTCAGGCAAATGGACCTTAATCATGACGGCTTACTATCTCTAGAAGAATTTATAAAAGGGGCTAGGAATGATCCATCTATAGTGAGATTGTTGCAATGCGGAAGTAATGGAGGGACCAATATCATAATAGATGAAGCTGATCCCCTTAGCTCTACAGGCACACCTTCTAATCACACAGGAGATAATGGATCAGTTAAAAATCCTAATTTAAGTCTATCTAAAATATCTCCTCAGTAGATAATAGTATTTTCACAATCACCTTTCTCACTTTCAAATGACAAAAATATTTATTTGTTTCTATTTGGAATTCTTAATATTGTCTTCTTTTCAATTTAATATGGATTAACCATGAATATTTTGTAAATATATGTAAATCTCAACGAATTTATAATACTTATATTCGCGGAAGTTCTATCTTAATACATATCATAAATCTTTTAAAACTAAAAAGGCCTATTCATTTAGAAATTTATGTATAAATCATAAATTGCAAAATTAAACTATCTTTTTATCATTCAATAACATATTTATAATACATTCCTCTTCGTAAATACCACAAAACCTATTATATACTATTTAAATCTATTCCTAATAAACTGGCCTATAAAAATTTCATTTATTATGCGTTTGTTTTATACTTTTAATTATAAGTAATTTACAAGATTCCCTTCTGTCAAATTATATATATGGAGAAAAATTAAATTTTATGGTTGAGATCACTTTTATATGTGGTTATACCGTCTAATATTGATATTCATACCCGTACGCTGAGCAAAGCGTACCTAGTATAAAAAAATTGGCAAGCCCTTCTTTTTTCCAATTTGTACGCCTACCTTATCTGTATTAGCAACCCTAAATGAAAATATAACCCAAGTTTATAATGTAATTCTAATTTAAATGCAGAATTTCAAAGAGGAAATAGAGATATATTAATAGTAATGTTTTTCACCATCATCTCCTAAATTCATGTGTGAAACAAAAAATATGCCCTTAATTAATCATTATCAAGGTAAAAACCCCAAAGATGAGTTTTCGGTTTCAAAAATATTACGTATAACACATAAAAGAAAGTAAGGATGTTGGGGAAAAAAGTGAACGGTCATGATATATTTTGCCCGAATCGATTAACTAGATTTTATTTAATTCAGGCTATATCTAAATACCACTGGTCATTTTTTGAAATATTTTCGCATTATGAGTGGTGAGTCAGTTCTGATTGGCCTTCACAAGCTATTAAATGCAATAAAAGTTTTAAACCGTTTATTAAACCCTCTAAGCCATTTCCAAACACAAGGCTTTTTCAAAGCAACAAATACAGCTTAATAGATGTATCCTTCCAACTACAACTTATTGCAAGTGAATAACTTGTTTCTTTTTAAATATTATATTATGCAATAATTTTTAAACAGGTGCAACATATGAATTGTGATTCTCTATGCTAAAAGATTAAATAAATTAATATTGCATTATTTCTTATTGATTTTACTAAACACCTTAATATCTATAATTTTTAATCAAACATTTTTTTATTAATTAAGCATCAATATTTGATATAAATTTATTAATTTATATTTCTATTATTAAATTAAAATAAGCCTTCAATGAATTTAAAGAAATTATGATAATAGAATTATTATCCATGATCATTATTATAGAAATATATCAGCAAATCAGATATTACATTTATCCCAAAATATCTAGAACAGTTAATATGACCAGCGTCTACATGGCAGAAAATTTGATGGAGGCAAACCCCTCCAAAATCTACCCATACCCACCTAAAAATCATGCGGCCTTCGGCCGCGAAATTTACAGACCTACGATGGTATAGTGATTTTATTTAAAAAATCTTATCTGCCACCTTTTATAACCTTACAACATAATTCTATTTACAATCTTTCAAGCCTATTTAGGGAAAAAAAATTTAAAAATTTGTAAGTGATAATGAACTTTTATTTAAATAATGCAATCTTTTCATAATTTGGTATTCACTTTATTTTCATAAAATATATATAAGTGAATTAAATGAGATAACATATTAATATTTCTATGAAAAAGATCTAAAATATTGTAAAAAATATAAGACGAATAAATTTAAAGGGGTATAAGCTTGATTCCACATAATTAAAAACATGTATTGTAAATAGAGCTATTATATAAAATATTAGAATAAAATGAATTATAGTATATTTTGCATTGAAATTATAAAATGTTAAATTAAATATACATTATTTAAAAGCCTATATATTCGCTGTGAAAAAGATACATTAATTATTTTATTAATAATTTGGATAACCTTATTGATGTTAAAGCAAATTGTGTTATAATATCATCAATTGTAAATTTTTCAAAAACATCAATTTCGCTGGATATTAACAGTAAATTTTCCAAAAATGGGTCCGAAATTTTATTCCGCATTCAAGTTTTGTTAATTTTTACTTTACTCATGGCTCTTTCGGCTGAACAGGAAGTTGTAGGAAGGGTTAATAAATATTTATATAATAAATTTAAATTTGAATAAGAATTTAATTGATTTAAAAGTCGGTATGGTAATATAAAAGAAAATTTTATCCATTTTTTTATTTTGGTCATGATTTCGCTGTTGATATTTTCTTTGGCAATTTGATCGTTTGCAATACCTTTAATTATATACAATTAATAAAATATCAATAAATTACTTTCATCTATATATAACGCGTCATTTTTTTTAACTTTTAAAAGATCTTCGCAAAAAATGATTGATTGAGACTCCAAATATAAAGAGCGAAAATCATTATATTCATCAACAATGTTTTGGACATCCAATTGATAAGTATTACAAATTTCGGATATTTGCCATCCTTCTATTTTTTCATTATCCATAATTCCAGCGGGAGTAAAAATGGATATCTGTGATAAAAAATTTAAACAATCATAATTAAATCGATCATTTAGGTGATTAATTATTGCATTTAGAACAGGGAAAAATATTTCCGTTCTATATCTATAATAATAAATAATAATTTAAATTTTTTTAATTTATTCAACTTGTTTTTTTTTGTTCAACATAATTATTGAATTCTGTTTGATCCAATTTGAATATTGATTTCATATTATACAAATCAGTTATTACATTATTCTTTTTCAAAAAACTATTAGATTAGGAATGTAATTTTAAAAATATATTGTCTCCATTAGCTATATTTTAAAATTATTTATAGAAATAGTAACTAATATTAACCTTTTAGTTTTTGTAATTTATTTTTTGTATGTTGTATTAATTTGGTTACCAAAGCCAAATCATTACCAACTGCCTGCATTTCAATACAAGCCTCATGTGTACATTTCAATATTTCTTTCAAAATAAAAAGACTTAATATAAAATTTTCATCTTTAATTCTTGATAATAACCCATCGGCAATGGAAGAGGTGCTTGGGTCATTAGAATCTTTTAATTCAACTAATGATGCTAAAATATGTTCATAAACATCTAAAAAGATTTCTACAGATTTGTAGGATGATGACCAATTTCTGAAAATATATAAGTTTCAAGTTTCATTAAAAATATTTTATTTACCTTGTTGTGTTTTTAATTCTTTTAAGAGATTTCTTGGACTTTCTCATTTGATATTTAACAAACACACCTTGACGTCTAACTCCATTCATAAAATTATATAACTCATCTAATATTCCCATTGCCTTTTTCATTTCAATTTTGCATCCACAAACATGAGCAACTACTAAATTTAGCCGATGTGCATGGCACCAAATATAGATGGCTTTTGGAGCCTCTTTCAATATTAAAGCCTGCATTCCTTTGTATACTCCTCTCATATTCCCTGCACCATCCATACTTTGTCCAACCAAATAATCAAGAGGAAGACCAAGATCATTAAACTTAGAAAAAACATGTTTCTTATATTTTCCCCAGTGATTTCTGATGTTGTAAAAACATGTATGATCCTTTCTACAGGATGTGGAAGATCATCTTCTATATACCGTACAAGCAAAGCTATGCATTCTTTTTTAGACACATCATATGTTCCATCTAATATGATGCTATAGGCACGATTCTCTTTAATTGTTTGAATAATGCTTTTTGTTATTTTTATCTTAATAATTTCAGTTATTTTTTTCACGTGGCCATATGACAGTAAATTTATATAAGGTCTCGAAATTTTATCTGATTTTTTTCTCCGCAATTTTTCGTTGTTATCCATGTATGCACGTAAAGTTGGAACCGTTTTTGCCATTAATTTTATGAGACACATAAAATTACCTTCATTCGAATTAGAACCCCAAAAGGCTATATTACATTTTATAAGGTAAATAATGGCATTGATAATATTATGAACTATATTACGATTTTCCATGATTATATCAAGCTTATTTGATAGCAAATGATCTTGAATGCGTTTATTTGCAAGCCAAGTCATGTTTGCATATTCACAATCTTTATGAAGAGAAGATGCTTCGTGTCTCTCTAAGTCACGCTTTATGTTTTTCCAATTATTTACCCCATGTTGAGTCAAAAAAGTATTGGACTTAGGGCCACCAAACATAATACAATATAGACAAAAGACTTTGTCTAAAGTAGTGCTATAAGATAGCCAATTTCTGGGGTTGAGGGAACCATCTATATTAACCTTTCTATAATAGGTTATATTCATGCTCCTGTTTAAAAAGTAAAAAAAAATATATTGGTATAGAAATAATGGATGGGTAAAAATTAATGAAAATAAATATTATTTAAAACCTCTTGTTAGTAACAGGATATTGAAATTTATTTGTACATGGCTGACAAGGGCCTACAGCAATTATGAAATTTATCAAAATATTTGTCATCCTAATAAAGTGAAAAGGGTCATTTGGTTCCTTTTTTTTGTATAGCTGAATAAGACTTGGACTTTGAATATCCTCATAATTTATTCCCTTCAAAAGTCATTATATAAATTTTATTTAAATATAATGCCTCATGCAAAGTAAGTGCCTCACTAGAACCGGGGATTGGATGAGGAGATAATACAATTTGTGAATCTTCAATATTGGAGATTTGCTATAAATAAAGAGTATAATTTGTTTACTTATGAAAATCTATTTTTAATATAATTTCAGCCAAATGGTCATTTTATTCTTAGCTACATTATAATTAAGTTAATCAATAAATGTTGGAAATATTTAAATGTCCTAATTTATTTTCTTCAAAAGTTATCATATAATTCGTATTTAAATTAAATACCTCATCATGCAAAGTAAGCGCCTCACTGGAACTGGGGATTGGATGAGAAGATAATACAATTTGTGAATCTTCAATATTGGAGATTTGCTATAAAGAGTATAATTTGTTTACTTATGAAAACTATATTTTTAATAAAATTTTAGTCAAATGGTCATTTTATTCTTAACTACATTATAATTAAGTTTTTAATAAAGGTTGGAAATATTTAATTAACCTCATAATCATAATTTATTTCTTTCAAAAGTTATCATATAATTCGTATTTAAATTAAATACCTCATCATACAAAGTAAACACCTCACTGGAACTGGGGATTGGATGAGGAGATAATACAATTTGTGAATCTTCAATAACTGAGATTTTCTATAAATAAAGAGGAGTTTAATTTCTTTCCTTATGATAACTATATTTTTAATAAATTTTTAGGCAAATGATAATTTTTTTTAACTACATTATAATTAAGTTTTTAATAAATGTTTTAATTCTACATGAATACATGATTGAGAAAACAGGTATTAAAAATATTATGAAGTCCAACATAAAGTTATCAGGTTACAATGGAAAGATGATACAAGTAATAGGTAAAGCACAAGTGAATGTAGAATACAAAGGGAATTCACATATTTTGAACGCAATAATCATAAACATCAATATGACTTTGTTAGATCATGTAAAAACATTTTTAAAATATACTTGAAAGATTCATAGGCATGATAGATGCAGATTAATATAAAACTGCGATCACATGAAGAAATCATAAAACAATATTATAATGACTATAAAAATAAAAACAATATTAAGTATAAATAAAATTGTGAAATTCATGATGAAAGTATATTATCTAAAGAAATTCTAATAGCTAAATAAAACAATGATAATAAACATACCTAATATAACACATAATGTAAATAAAGGGGATGAAACTCACACAGATAACATTTTGAAAATAGTTGATTCCAAATCATATTTTATAAGATTTATATTTAAAAAAAGTAAAAGAATTTGAAGTCTTAATTCAATTAAAGATGAAAAGATTTAAATTTAAAAATTCCTAGAAATTAACATTACCTTATTTTACTACATTATATTAACTTAATAAGTTTTTTTAATACTTTGGTTTTAAATTATTATTATTAACTTATTAAACATATTGTTAAATTGAACTTTATAAAGTATATATAGATATAAAAATAGTGTGATAAACAGTTAAAAAACATTAAATAATAATATATATAATTTATTTTCTCTATACCCTGACTACTTTAATATTAATATTATTCTGATAAAATTATAAATCAGTTTCTATTAATTCACAAATTTATAGTTACAATAATAAATAAAAATATTACTTTTTGGAAGTAAGATGTTATTGTCTTTTTTTGCAACTGGGTTTCAACTCCATTTGTGATATTATATGGAATATCACAATTTAAAGATACTCAATTATTATTATCTCTTTTGATGGCTACCTTTGTAAATTTCATATCAGCTGGCTTGACATGAGGATGTTTATGTTTATAATGTTCATGTATCTTGTCACTTCTTATTTTAGAAGTTTTGCAATTTTTAATATTGCACTTAACTTTAAATATGGTTTTGTTACTTGGCATCTAGAAAGAAATATTTATTATAATATAATTTTTTACATATTATGTTTTTTATTATTCTTTGCTTGCTGATATATGTTTTTATGCATGACTCAAAAAATTACCTAAAATTTATCCTGCTAAAATCTATAAATTTATTAAAAAACATAATATAAATATATTAACCTCTAAGAAAAGTACCAAATAGGAAATGTGTAAATATTAACTTGATAAAATGCTAAATGAAAATCGTTGACAAAGAAAATTTATATTATTTATTAATTGACAAATATCTTTACTTTAATTGACATTTTTCAGAAAATCAAACGATAACCATCATAATCGTATCAATTAATGGATTAAAAAAAGATTATAATTCAAATCAAAAATTACCCACCAAAAATCAATACCTACCCCCAAAAAATTAATATCAACCCCTTAAAATCGATACCTACCCCCAAAAATGCTAATATATTTTGGAGGCATTTGTCTCCTACCCCCCCCCCCGGCCATGTAGACGCTGAATATGACAGATATGTTGTTATTGAAATATTTTTTATAATTTGCATAAGTAGAAATTTTATATAATTTACACTTATTTTTTGAAATATTATAAACAATTATATATTTACAAATAAAACCCCTGAAGATATGAAATGCCATTTAATATGATTTTAATTCTTTATAAGTCATAGTAGCATCAATAGATTTTCTATCTTTATCCCTTATTTTTTATTAAATGCATCTTTTAAATATTGTAAAACATGTAATAAAATATTTAAGATATTCATTGCCTACATTTTTATGTCATTACATGTTTATGTAAATTTAATTTTATAATAAAAGTATATAAACTTATCTAGCGAATAGTATTTTAATAAAAATAAGCTATTTAAGAATTAAGTCTTATCTTTCTTTTAGATAACTTATCCTTCTAAATATTAAACTTGCTTATTCTGCTTGTGTAAGATATTTAAAAGTTCCAATAAGTTGGGCCCCTACTTTTAGATTGTTTATCTATCGGACGGATTTGTACCGTTTCCAGTTAGATTTATACCATCGCCGTTTTTGAGATTTTCAAAGAACAAAATGGTGGGTGGGGCCAATTTCAGGGCAGCCTCCAACTTTTGAGTTTAGAAATAAAGAGTTTTAGGTCGATAGGATGATTTGTACCGTTTTCAGTTTGATATGTACCATTACCGTTTACCAGATATTGACCAAAATTTTGGCGTCAAAAATAAAAAACTCATTAATTTTTTTTTAATGTATAATGATAGGTAGTGAAGGTCAACGGTCCGATCCTATCGGTCTTAGACCGGGATCGGACCGGACCGATCTTTTTCTTGAAGACCGTGGACCGGACCGGTCTTTTTATTTTTTAAGGTCCAGACCGCTATCCGGATCGGTCTTTTATTATTGTTTAAGTTTGCTTTACTATACAATTAATATAATTTTTTTGTATATTTTATTTTATGATATTTTTCTAGAGGAGTCATTTTAGATTTTGTTAATTTTTATTTTACAATATGAAAACCATAAGTTTGTCCAAGAAACATTTTACTTATAGTCCCAATAAAAACATAGAGTATGTGTTCACTGCAGTACCAAATTTAATGTATCGTCAGCACCTAGTAACAAAATAATTGTTTATAATTTTTTAAGCAATAAATTAATCAAAATAAGCAATAATATTATTAAAATATTTTAGTTATTATATAGTTCTATTTTTTTTAAAGAAACTGTCTGTATAATTTATTGTAAAAATTACTTAACCTTATTCTTAATAAAATAATTAGGTACCTTAAGCAGACATCTGATAAAACATAAAATATATACTTCTAATGATGAAAATGAAAATATCTCAAAAAAAACAATCTACTCTTAATTTTAATATGCCCTCTACAAGCACAAAACCATTTTTTCCAATACCATTGGATAAATTTTATTGTTTATATAATACTCTTATATTTAATAAAATGATAAAACAAATCAAATTAGGTTAAAAAAATATGTTTTTTAAACAAATAAAAAGACCGGTCTGGATCGATCTTTTTCTTAAGGACCGTGGTCCGGTCCGGTCCGAGAGTATCGGTCCAGTCCGGACCAAAGACCGGACCGTGACCTTCACTGATAGGGAACCTTTTTTTTCTTCCTCATGATGCTCCGAAATAATTTTTATCCCCATTATTTATTTCTGAAATCAAATTTTAAACTTAAATTAGAACATAATGTTACCCCCCCCCCCCCCATAAAACAGAGTAAGGATTTATCAAAACAAGAAGAAACATAATTTGGGTAAATAAAATAAAGATTCCTCAGAAAAATTAGAATTATTTAAGAAATCTCATAGAGAAATGACCAGGTATTCAGTAATAGTCAATACTTTTGATATTAGCAAATCTAATTTTGCAAAAAAGAACATTTGAACATATTAATTTTTGAAATATAGATAGCGAATTGTAAAATAATATATAATATATTATTTACTATCACTAGATTACCGATGGCTTTATTTTCACAAAATAATAGCATAGAATGTCATTAACCTCTTTATCGTTTTTATATGAGATTCTTACTCTATAGATCTCAGGGCATTAATGTTTTTACATTTTGGCCCAATTTTTAATTATATGCATAAATTTCTTATAATGGATAACAGAATTTCTTTTTCAAAATATTCTTTTGGTGATTTTTTTTTCGTATATAACACATGCAATAAATACTCATATGAGTTTACATTGATAATATCACAACCATGACAAAAAACCCTGTTTCCATTATTTGTAACACTATGTAATTTAAGGGTATTTTCGCTGCTGCTGAAAGCATTTGATTGTGTGATTTAGGTGAGCACTAATGTGAATTGCCTGGTCGTTTATATTAGAGATCTGCAAAAGTAGGCCCGGCCCGTACCCGGCCCGAACCCGGCCCGAACGGGCTTCGGGCCGGGTTTGGGCCTACTTTAAAAAAAAAATTAGGGTTCGGGTTGGGTCGGGCCTAATATTTTTTAAAAAAATTCGGGCCGGGTCGGGCCGGGCCTTAAAATATTTTTAATATTGGCACTAATATTTTTTGTAAAATAAAAATATTTAATTTTATTTGAAGAAGCTAGACGCCATATGATGGCATGTATCTTTTATTCTTGGTATAAATATATAATTAAACTTTTTTTTAAGAAACAAGGCGGCAACATTTTTTATTTGTAAAATATAAATATTTAATTTTATTTATTTAGAAAGTAGACGCCATATGTCATATATATTTTATTATGGGTAAAATAATTTAAATGTTTTTTTATAAAACTTAAATTTTAAATATAATTTAAAAATGAATTTAATTTTTTTAAAAAAACAAATACAAAATGGAACATATATTTGTTTGCCCCATTTAGGTAAAAGCAATATATGGGAATATTTTGAAGACATATTTGATGATAAAAACAAAAAACTTGATTACGTCCAATGTAAAAAATGTAATAGTATATTACAATATAAAAGCACATCTGGAAATTCTCATTTAAGACGTCACAAGTGCGTTAAGAATGACGATTCCTCTATTCCTAAAATAACTAGATATATTCAAAAGAAAATAGATCTAAATTCTTCCTTAACTATTAAAAAGAAACTATGTGATACCTTGATCTATTATTGCGCCAAGGACATGCGTGCCTTTGATTCGATAACTGGAGATGGCTTTATAAAAATGGCTCAAAATTTTATTCAAATTGGCTCCATTTACGGTAATATTGACTGTAGCGAAATTATTCCCCATCCAACTACTTTATCGAGAAATGCTATAGTTATGACGGATCAAATTAGAACAAATTTGGTTAATAAAATAAATGTTCAATTATTTGATAAAAAATGCTCTGCTACAACAGACATGTGGACAGATTCTTTTAAAAAGTTTTCCTATTTAACTGTTTCAATTCATTATATCGAAGGTGAAACCTTATATAAACATGTTTTATTTACGAATAAGTTTAAAGAAGAGAAAAAACCGCCGCGAACATACATAAGGAAATGCTACAAAATTTTGCTGCAATTGGAATAATTCCCGATCAAGTGAAAAATATAATATTTATATCTGATCAAGGAGCTAATATAATTAAAGCCCTAGAAAAATACACCAGATTAAATTGCAGCGCACATCTATTAAATACTGTTCTTCGAAATACCTTTAAGGAACAATCTTTGAAAATTATCGCTCCTAATATATATCAAACCCTTATTTCTGCTAAAAAATTAACCATGTATTTTAAACAAACCGGCATGAATCAATATTTAGACAAAACATTACAACAAGATATCGAAACTAGATGGAATTCAAAATTAAATATGTTGAAATCTATTTATAACCAATATGATGACATCGTCAATTTTTTATCATCCAAGGGAGATATTAATAAAATGGAAAACTTGGAGAAATCTATTTTGAAAAATTTGATTGATATTTTATATCCTTTTGATAAAGCTACTAAAGAACTAGAAGGAGATATTAATCCTACTTTACATAAAGTACTGCTATGCTTTAATAATATTCTTCACGAGGATTTAAATGATTCATTTTATCAAAACAATGAAATAAAAGAAATAAAAACCAATTTAAAAAATTTTTTATTATCTAAATTTAAAATCAATATTTTGCATAAAATAGCGACATTTTTATGCCCCAAATATAGTAAATTAAGAATGTTATCATCAATGGAAATATTAGAAGTAGAGAATTCAGTCAAAAATATAATTAATTCTGAAGAATATTGTCCTTCAATTGATATTATAGATTTGGATATTCAAGGCGTTTCTCAAATTGTGGAATCGCCTAAAAGATCTAAAGGTACATTTAAAATTGTTCTATTTATATTATTTTTATATATCAGGCAATGAATATGAAAGATGGGAGGACAATGAGGAAGAATATGAAAAAAAAGAAACAGATGAGCTTGAAATTTATAAGAATTTAAACATAAAAGAGAATAATGAAAATATAGATCCAGAAAAAGATATATTAAAATGGTGGAATAAAAATGAAATTAGATTACCAAAGATGACAAAATTGGCTAGAAAAATTCTAGCAATTCCTGCAACGTCCACAACTTCTTAGAGAACTTTTTCAAAGACTGGAAGGTTATTAGACGAAAGAAGAAATAGACTGTCACCAGAAAATGTTGATGCTTTGATATTTTTAAATGATAATTATAAATATGAATCTAATATATAGTTGTGTAATTTAACATTATAATTATTTTTGGTTTATAGGTATTTTTGATAGTATTTTAAATAAATAATTAAATACTAAATAAATTTTCTGTTTACTAAGATATTTTTTGCAAAAACAAAATCTTAAATATAAAAAATAAACTAAAAGCTAAAAAAAATATAATTATTACTTTAGGATGAATTAAAAAAAATTCGGGTTCGGGCCGGGCCGGCAAAAATTTCGGGTTCGGGCCGGGCCGGCAAAAGTTTCTAAAAAAAATTCGTGTTCGGGCCGGGCCGGGAAAAATTTTTTAAAAAAAATTTCGGGCCGGGTCGGGCCTAAAAAATTAGGCCCGTGCAGATCACTAGTTTATATACCAATAAAAATGGACAATCATCTTTCAAACAATTGAATATTTCATATAATTCATCCATTGTTTCATATCTAGCTTTCATCACATTCTCTAAGAGGAAGCTCTAACTACTGGATTAGTCGTTTCATATATTCCCTTCTTCAAGAATCTTTGACTTGGGTTAAATATTACAGATTTTTCCTTATTAGTTTTTTCTTTAATATGTTGCTCCAAATGATTCCGGTTATATTTGCTGCATTACCTATCAATGTGGATTACTAAGAATTCTATTGCCTCGTGAATTTTTGCAAGCCATCGAGACTGTGTAGAAAGTGGCATTTTTTATTACTTTTGTAATGCTTTAATTCAAACATTTTTTCCGCCTTTACAAACATTTAACACTCTTTGCTATTATAACAATTATATTCTGCAATCCAAATTTTTAACATTGAATAATAATTATAACATGCAATCGCAAATCACTCTTTAATATAATTTTATAATTATAATATGCAATGCACAATTCTAAATATTTAATACTTAATAATAATTATAATACACAATGTACAATAGCAAATCACAATTGATATTATTTAGTATAACATATTATCTTGCCATTGCTTACAAAATGAATATTTTATACAACATGTATGTATAAAATAAATAATAAAATTTAAGAATTTGAATACTTCAGGATTTGATATCTCAATTAAAAAAGAATATAAGATATCAAAAGAAAGCCCAGCCGAAGTAAACGAAAAGCGGGCAAAATGGAGGTGAAGCCCCCCTCCCAAAAAACCCCATGGTTGAGCTCCCTCAAATTGTAAAGACTAGTGATGCCACTGCTTAATGCTATAGTAGAAAAAAAATTTCCATTTGTGGGATTGGAAATACCCCGATTATGTTTACATCCAAAACTTTTAAAAAAATTGGTCATCATTAAAGGGTAAATTATAATTTTTAAATTTTTTATCTGATTATTTATAATATTGGAATGATAAATAGTTTTCTCAAATATCTATTTACACCTCAGTCATATTTTAACTATTTAATTTTTTCATTCAAATGTATTTATAGATATTTTATATGGCGTTAAGCTATTAAATGGTATTTTGCGACAGATTTTAAAATGGTAACGAAATATATTGTTTAGGTTAATGAAATATATTTCCAGCTCAATTTTTCCAACTATGATTCTCTATAATAAACTAAATATACCTTTTCACAGATTCCAATTTCTTAGGGACACGACAAAAGTAAACTTCTTTTACCATGTTATTTTTCTAATTTTTTCAGATCTTTTCCTAAAATTTTCAAATGACTTTTTCTCCATGATTTTTCTGATAAATATTTTCGAAGGTCTCTTCAGAAACTCATATAATATAATTGAAATCAAAATGGCTTACTTATAAACAAAACTTCATAAATATTTTAATTTATTTGATAAATTGTATTATGATTGCACCATTAAGTTGTATATTATATTAATCTAATAAGAGTTATAAAATTTATAATAATACTTTTTAAATAAAATGTTATTTTAAAATAACCCTATAAGGGTGATAATTTGCAGGATTTATATTTGATATCATTGAGATCTAAGATAAAAAGGGGAGGGATATGCGTTAAATCAATTTTAAAGCGTCATAAATAAAGTGAATTGAATTTCATAAAATCTATTTGTTAAAGTTGCTCCAGGCGATGTAGCCTAGCTGTCTCTTCTTGCGGACTAAGAATGATTAAAAATTTCCTGATTTCTTTTAATCTTTTGTAAGTCACTTCGTTGAAAGGATTGGTAAGTAAATTGACCATTTGAAGATGTTCGAGTTTAGTTAGGTCATCTATATGTTCCAGTTCTTTTAAAAAATGATTATTTAATTTTTTGTGAAATATATAGTGTTGTGCAAATTGATGGAAAACACATTTCCACATTTTTAATTTATAATTGTTAAGAATATAATAACAATTTTAGCAAATTAAAATTTTATTTGCTAATAAATATGGAAATTCTCCCATTTTTTTATATTTATTTTCCAGTCCTTGCTTTTTTGCTTACAAAAATTTTGAGAAAATAACCTTGGATGTAATTCTGTTGAGCATTTAAATGAGTCAATTTTTTGAAGCCAAAAATCACAGAGGGTAAATCGTTGAAAGAATTACAAGAAATATCGATTCGACGCAGTTGAGTTATTTCTCGCAAGCTTTCTGGAAGGGTTGTCAAATTATTCCTGGACAAGTCTAAACCTTTAAATTGAATAAAAATTCATCAAATTTTAATATCTTTTAAGAACTTAATCATGTCAAAAATATTAATAGTGAATTAAAAGATGGTAGAATAATCGTTTTTTTAGTGAAATAGTGTCCTTAGTGACTTTCTTAAACAAAACATCCGCTCGGCCTATTCGAAAACAAATCGAGTATTTGATTCGAATAATTCGTTCAAATATTAAAATTATTCTGAATTAATATATTTTTTAATAAAATTTAAAAAAATTAAATTAATATGCATATTTAGTTAATAACTTGATCATGTCCCTTATATTCATATTAATTTCTGTTAAAATTAGAGGTGTAATAAAAATATTCTTGTCAATATATTTTCATGAATCATTTTTATAATATTATTAAAAACGAATTATTTAAATAATTCTAATCAAATACAAATAGTAGCTTTTATTATTTGGCGAATATGAATAATGTACTATTCGATTTCGTTTGTGATAGGTTTAGTATCTGCTGGTCATCTTATAATCAAAAAAGGACACTATGTTCTTGAAAGTGACTTTGTTTCTGAAAAAGGCCACTCTGTGGCTAAAAAAATACTAATTATGATAAATTTCTGCTGAGTCTACAAACAGTGGTTTCATTCTTTCTTATAAGTAATTACAATTAACAAGTATTTCATATATATTATGTCAAAAACTAAAATAATGAAGATTAAAAATAAATCAAGTATAACTTGGTATTTTTTTTATTTAAAAAATTAAAAATTAGACTAATCCAAATTTTTTTTTCAAACTCTAATTTTTTAGATTTAGACGTGCCCTAAATTAAACGAAAAAATATTCTAGTATAATTGAGTCTATGCGTTTTCTTATATAACAGCTAGTGCTAATAGTTATTATGATCGATAAATAGATATTCTAAAAAAATTGATCCTAATATAGCCTAGGTTTTGGTAGAATTTTAATTTTTTTGAAAATTATAAATTTTTCACCCCTAAAAATAAAAAAAATTGATGTCGATCTATGCACACTGCGTATTTGCATAAATACCAGAGTCAGCCATGATGGAAAGTTGAGAGTTTTTTTAAAAATTAACGGATTGTTGAACTGATAAGTTATATAATTTTTAGATGAGATTAGGGACAAGTTAACTCTGCGATATTTGAGATGACTACAATAGATTTATATAAAATTTCTTGAGTTCTTGAGATAGTTTACATGTTGTATTGTTAGGTTATATAATATGAACGTGTTAGCGACAAAAAAAAGAAACTCGGTAGACATATTTCTTTGTGATTTTCAAATTATTTTTAGGTATTATGTGCCTTATATGACATATAAATATACTCAAATTATTTTCTTCAATTCTCTTCATTATAATACTAATTATCAGAGTTGTTAAAAGTTACTTTTTAAATGGATCTAGATACAGAACAATTTTTACAATGTATCTAGATGCAGATACAATTTTTATTATACCCTTTTAGGTTTACTATTGTGAAAATTCATGAAATGAGGTAAGAATTTATTGACTCGATATCACATTTATTAAAATATAACTAAAATAATGATTTTTAGATTTTAATATAATATAATATATGATTATAAATAATTATTAAATTTAAGTAATAAATATTTTCAAAATTTTGGTCATTAAGGCATCCTTTTTTATCTGTAGACATTTTTAATTATCTATAGGGGTATTTGAAGGGAGTGTGGTGTTATATTTTATGAATAACAATTTTATATCGGGAAATTATACCAACCACTCTCTGTCGGCAAATTATATATTTTTTGTGGAGATAATGTTTTGATCATTTTTATAGATGAAGGATTTTCAACAATTGAAAATGGCTGAAAGCTATAATTCATCTAAAGTGGTTTGGGTTAAGGTCTGAGGTCTCTTGGCAAAAATATCAGTGGACGATGAGCCTAGTCCAATATTTTCTTTAATAGATTTATTCTCCTTCCTTTTTTATATTTATTAACAGTGTTTGATGTTTTCTCTTAAAATTTAAAATTACAATTGTAAACATTTATTTAGTATCCATACCCTTAAATGTTTTAATATGTTGAAAGTTGAGGTAATACTAACTGAAATTTTCGTATTTTTTGGTAGACATGGCAAACATTTTACCATCAGAGATTTGTTTTCTTTATTTTGAGATATTATTTTAAGATATGCTATATAAATTGTCCATGGAAAAACAATGGAACTTGTTGATGTTTCATTGATTATTACTACTTCCTCTTCGTCACAATTAATATTAATCTAAAATATTTTTTAAAATTGGTATAATAAAATAAAATTAGCCAATTCCATTGAAAATAAAAATGGCAGATTCCTGAGATGGATTTATAATGTCAAAATTTGTCCGGTTTATTGATAAACCCGGACATAATATTTAACGAATATTTATATATATTTTTTTTTATATTTTTTAATATTTTATATATATACATTTTTTATTATAGTAGTCTTAGTATTTTTCAATACATATATATAAAAATTATATGCTCATATAAAATAAAATAAATTTTGCATTTAAGTATTTTTATTTATAATATAAAAAAGCGTTAAATAAAAGTATATCAAAATGTATCTTAAAAATATATAGAAACAGATACAGATACCCCTAAAATAATATCTAGATATATATACAAATACTTTAAAAAATCTATCAAGATACAGATACCACATTTTTATATCTAGATACTTTAACAACTCTGCTAATTATAATGAACAAATAGACTTATAAATAACATAAAGAATATCGACGTGCCAGAAAAATCCAAGGAACGATTCCAATATATTTTCGAAAAGTTAAATTACGGATATGGCGATGAAAAAAAGGGAAATCAACTCTGATTATTTTTAAAAAAAAACAAAAATGATAAGTCTATTTTTACCAATTCTAATATAATATTAGAAGAAAAACATGCAGAAAATTTATAGAAAAAAAAGAAGTATAGGCGTAAAGAAGGGGGTGCGGAGTCTCCCGGTCTATAACAGCGTTTTTTTCTTATTATTGACAGGCTATTATAAATTCGAAAGGGGGAAACATTTTTTCCTTCCAGGCAATGGAAATAGGAAGAATAGTATCAAGTATTGTGTTTATCATTGACAGGCTATTATAAATTCGAAAAGCGGAAACATTTTTTCCTTCCAGGCAATGGAAATAGGAAGAATAGTATCAAGTATTGTGTTTATCATTGACAAAATAAAGTGATAAATAATATTTTAAAAAGTTGTTAAAAAACTATAAAAAAATAAAGCCTAATGTTTTGATATACATATATATATTGTTTATAGGGCTGTGCCGATATTAAATATCGGATCAAATCGGCACCGATATTTAGCGTTTCCCAAAAATATCGGATCGGGCCAATACCTATAAAAACCGTTTCCAATCCGATCTTTTTACTTATCTTTTTTTTAAATTATTTATGTATATTTATTTATTTTACATTTATAATATCTTTTAAATAATTTTTTTAACAATGCAAATGCACAACATTTCTTAAATTATTTTTTTTAGATTTATAGTATTTTAAAAGTTTTTTTTATAAAAATAGAAAGGAACACCCAAAGTTTTAATTATTTTAAATCTTTTTAAATAATAACGCCAATAATATTATTTATACCTTAAATAAAAGATTTTTTAAAAATATGGTATCTGAATTAGAGGTCTGCATTGGGCGGGGTTTCGGCCCGCCCACCCACACCCGCTTATCTAAGTGGGCGGGTAAAAAAATTTTGAGAATGGGCAAGCGGGAGGCGGGTTAAAAAATTTGAAACTATGGGCGGGCGGGTGGGTGGGCGCGTTAAGAAATTTAAACAATGGGCGGGCGGGTTAAGGAAATTTAAAATTTTTGTTCAAAGACAAACTAAAGAAAAATCATAATTAAATGCTCAATAACAATATTTCTTTTTTTATTGTACCAATCGTTTTTTTAAGTGAAGAACACTTTTCTAGTTTTTCGACATCTTAATCTAATTTTTCCCACCATATATAATGTCTCGTAATGGATTTCATTGTTGTAATACCCGGATGTCCCGTATGCAATAAATGCAAAACTCTTTTTTGAAGTGAGTACGGAATGATTAATCTGCCATTACAAAATAAAATACCGTCATCATTTTCTATTTCATCTATTTTTGTTCTAAAAGCTTGTAATTCTGGTGCTTGATTTTGTATATTTGTACCATTTCTTTTCTTGGTAGAGTTAATGTGTCATAAGTAAGATTTCTTATATATTTCACTATTTAATTTTCACTTGTTATTCTGTCTCTATTGGGTTTGCGATAAAGCATCTGCAATTATATTATTAGCGCCATTCTTGTACATTATATTATAATCATATGCAGATAATTTATAAGCCCAACGTAATAATCTTTGGTTTGTTAAAGAGCTTAAATCTCTGTTATTACAATATATCTTTATTAAAGGTTTGTGGTCTGTTCAAATTTTAAATTTTCGTCCATACAAATAGTTATGAGATTTTTCTACGCCGTTTATTAATGTTTTTGCTTCTTTGTCTATTGTAGAAAAATTCTTTTCAGCGTCTTGTAAAGTTCTTGAGGTGTAATCTAATGCGTTATCATTATCATATTTTTGCATGAATACAGCTCCAAATCCTTGGTTAGATGTATCTGTTTCTAATATTAACTCGAGATCTGGTTTATAAAACTGTATAGTATTTTGTTCTGTTACTATTCCGAATAGCTTGAAACGATTACGAAAATAGCACGATATTTTATTTTGGAATGGCAGATTAATCTTCGTACTCATTTCAAAAAAGAGTTTTACATATATTGCATACGGGACATCCGGATCTCACTTGAGAAAGAGGATATACTTCAGACGGATATCCTACTTTGGTGGAAACGACAAGAGATTTGCCAAAGCTATCAAGATTAGCAAGAAAAATATTGGCAATTCCTGCAACTAGTGCTTCATCTGAACGAGGATTTAGCATTGCTGGAAGGTTTTTAGAACAAAGAAGAACGTGTTTGAATCCAGAAAATGTCGATTCATTATTATTTTTGCATTTATAATTACATATTATATCAATTTTATATTTATTTCATAAATATTCTATTTGATCAAATAAATTGTTCATAATTTAAATTGAATATTTTTTTTATGCTTAAATTAATTTCCTAAATTATAAACTTTTTGTAGAGGTGTAATACTGAAATATTTTTATTAGATGCTTAAAAAATTAAAAGAATGGCCATTATTAAATTTTATAAGTGGACTTGGGTTAAAAATTTTTATAAATAATGGGCTGGCGGGTAAAAATTTTTAGACTAATGGGCGGACGGGTAAGGAATTTTAGACAAATGGGCGGGGCGGGAGGGTATATATTTTTTTGAAAATTATGGGCGGGTTGGGCGAGCAAATTTTTTTAAAACATTTGTAGACCTCTAATCTTAATTATGAAAATATTTTACAAAAGATAAAGATAATTTTGCAAAATGCTTTCTGCGGAATTCTCACGGAGAGGAATAATGAAAAATTCATTTAATACTACCAATATACGTAAACTTTTTTTTAATTATTATAGAAATAAAAAAATTTAATTAAATGCATAATTCGAATTTTTGCATAAAAAATATTGATTTCTTATTACATTTGGTTCACAGGGGGGTGGTGAAAAATCAATATAAATATCGGATCGGTTTCAAACCAATATCGGAAAATATCAGATCGGTGAAAAATATGTGGATCGGCACAGCCCTAATTGTTTATATCATAATTGATAAATATGATGATATTGCTGAGCTACTTAACTGACTAAAAATTTAAACTTGAGGCCGAACTTAGCCGGAATCGATTTTAATAGATTTTGAGAGAGATTACAATCGAAACAGTTGGTTTCCCTGAGGATAAAAAATATTGCTTCGGGGAAGGAATGCAATAAACATTGAGACAAATCTAAATTATCAATAAATATGACAATTTATACTTTTTTTCAAACCTAATAATATTAAATTGTTACATCAAGAGTATTTTTTTTTTAAAAAAATAAGCGAAATACAAACCCGTGATTAAAAAGGAAAAAAAATTATTTGGCAGATCATAATTTTTAATCAGGAAAATTGTGAAATATTAATTGTAAGTGATCAGAACAACTCTTGTTTTATATCGAAAGAGATATATAAATATAATAGTCAAAGTCATGCATATAAATATCATTCATGAATCACAATGGAAAGAAAATAATATATAGGGTTTAAATTGGACATGCATCAAATTAAAAAGTTGTTAAAAAGTTTGCAATTCAATATGGAAAAATATTATCAAATTTTTTTTGACCTGTTGTATTTATCAAGATTAAATTTTCATATCCGGAAAAAATTAAATTTTTTTAAAATATTTTTTTGGCAGGATATATTAAATAGTAATGTTAAAATAAATAATTGAAATTTCAATAGAGTTTACACAAACTACTAATTGGATGATTTAGCGCACATAGTAAAAAATCTGATTTCTAAAAAAAATATAGTAAATTATTAACTCCTAAAGAAATTTACGATTCCTTATTTCCTGCTCAATTTTAGAGAAAATGTTAGTGGAAAAATGGAATCAAATTTAGTGCTAACCCCTGCCAAAAAATGAGTTGAGCTATATATTCATACAATGCTCCCTAACCATATTATTTGTACTCGTGTTAATAAAATATATATATCTTATATAATGAGCTATAATAAAAATCTAAGTATTTGTATAGAAAATTATAAAGAATTTACTAAATAAAATCAAAAAGTAATTGTATAGAATTCTATTATTTAAAGACTGGGTTTTTCAGAAAATTATTTTTTTAAATAACAAGTTATAAAATTCATTATTTACTTAAAAATATGTCTAAAATTTTTGGGAAATTTGTGTGAATTCAGTTTTTTGCAATAACTTTTCAAAAAAAAAATTTCTGACGAATAATAATGTATAAGTAGAATAAATACATACTAACATCCATATATGGGTGATATATTGACTATTTAGTCTATTTAAAAATCATATAAATAATGATATTATATTATACATTATAATTACAAATAATTTAACATCCTTTTGTAATTAAAAAATGAATAAGTTAGAATGTGGTGAACTGGGAACACCTCATCCCATATATAGCATCTTGGGATGATTCTGCTCAGGAAAAAAAAATGTAGGTGGAATGGGATGAATGTTTAACCTTCTCTTCTACTAATGTTAACAAAAAATGCAATATCTGACCTAAAATATTTTTAATCTCATCCCAATGTAGAGGACATAATAATTCTGCAATAATATAGATACTAATATTTTAAAATGTGAAACTAATGTTTATATGCTTTAATTTAAAATGCAAACTAATTAATTATTTCATTGCAAATAATATTTTAATGATCTAAAACTTATAGTAATATTAGTGTTTACTTTTTATAAAAAATAAAATTATATTATAGTTCAAGTAATTTTCTATACTAATCAAGCATAGGTGTATCCAGGATTTTGCTAAGATAGAAGGCGTTATGGTGGAGTTTTTGCTATAAATTTTATTGGGGGTCTTTAAGTCCACCTATTGTAGCCTTTAGCTACACTATATTTTTATAAAATAATTTCAAGTTTCCATTTTTTTTATAAAAATGCCTTTTCTAAAAAAATTTGAATTATAGTTGTTATTTTAGAAATTAATTAACTTTTACTAATGTTTGTTTTAAATTCATATTTATTGTGATATATTATATAAATTTTTTGGGAAGAGGGGAGCATATAGGGGAAATTCATCAAAATTTAGTTTACTTATTTTACAATATTTATCCTCTAGATTTTAAAAACTAACAACTAAAAAACTTTATAAATAATTTTAAGAACACTTACTCTTATTATTTATTAGATAAATTTTATTTGGACCTAATAAAGTAAATCATAATGTTTTATAAAACAAAATAGTGTTTATTTTTATTATTACCTAATTAGGAATATGAAAGAAATCAAATATTATAAACCTAGTATTAAGCACTTCTACCATGGGTGTATGGGGGGGGGGGAATATTTAGGGGATAGGAATTGTTTTAGAGCATAATATTATTAAATTACGAGAGTCTAGAAGTGCCCTGCCTGGCAAGTCATAATAAAATTTAAATATTATTTATTGAAATTATAACATAAAGGAGGGATATTATGAGCCATCAAATAATATGTTAAATGTTATATCATGCTTAAAGAAAGGTTAGTATTGTTGTATTATACTTTTTATAAATTTTCATGCAATAAGATAATTTTGTAATATTTATCATATATTTATATACTAACTTTTTATTTGTAAATATTTTTTAAATAAAGATTAACCTAATTTTTTATTTTGTTTAGCTAAATCACATCTTTTTACAACTCGAGTTACTGCCTTCCCGGCAACTTTCAAACTAAGTTATAAATAATAATATTATATATGTAAAATAATAAAATTCCAAATTTTCACTATTACTTTACGAAGTCCATTCCAAATTTCAGAAATTTTTTTAGAGCTTTTTTTTCAATCCTGAAGAAATATGATTTGGGTCCGCTGTCTCGAATATTAAAAAGTATCAAAAATACAAATAAGCTAAAATGGCGACCAATATGGCCCCTAAAGGTTGAAGCGAGAGATTTTAAATTATAAATATAAAATTAAAATATGGCCGTCAAAAAATTTCAATCGGTTACTACATATGAGAGAGATTTTATAATTTAAATTAATATTAAATTAGTAACGAATTATTAGAAATTTGTAATTTAATAAAGTAAATAATACAATTTAAATATTTATTAATTAATTGATATATAAAAAAATTAAATATAGGATTGTTTGTAGTATTTAATATAATGTAATCAATATAATTAAATTTAATATAATAGTTAATATTATTAACATAGTTAGTATATATATATTGAATATAATTATTTATTTACATCATATATAAAATTTAAATATTTATAATATATTTAAATATTTAATATATGTATTTAATATTAAATTAATTGATATATAAAATAATTAAATATATGATTGTTTGTAGTATTTAATATAACATAATCAATATATTTAAATTTAATATAATAGTTAATATTATTAACATAGTTAGTATAATATATTTTATATATTAATTTACTTATATATTGAATATAATTGAATATATATTTAATATAATATATTTACATCATATATAAAATTTAATTATAATTATTTATAATATATTTCGATATATAAATATATATTGGTTTATATAATATATTGCTTTATGATTAATTGGTATATGTTAATTACTTAACTTACTAAGAAATCTCTAAATAAATTTTTTATCGTTGGATTTTTACTTATTTATATAATCATTAGATTTCCTCACATCTTTTAATTTTTTTGAGATTCTATTAGTATATATAAGTTACCTAACTTAGTAGGAAATCCCTGAATAAATTTTTTATCGTTGGATTTATACTTATTTATATAATCATCAGATTTCCTCACATCTTTTAATTTTTTTGAGATTCTATTAGTATATATAAGTTACCTAACTTAGTAGGAAATCCCTGAAAAAATTTTTTATCGTTGGATTTATACTTATTTATATAATCAACAGATTTCCTCACATCTTTTAATTTTTTTGAGATTCTATTAGTATATGTTACCTAACTTAGTAGGAAATACCTGAATAAATTTTTTATCGTTGGATTAATACTTATTGCAATGTTATACATTTATTAGCAATAAAGGATATTAATTTATTTTATTAAATAATATTGGATTCACAAATAAATATATAATCTTATAATACATTATTTATAAGGGTATCATTTAGTATAAATATACGAATAACGTTAAATACAGAAAAAAATAATTGGATAAAAAATGCGCATAAATGCAATACAAAACGTTAATAAATAAATAAAAAATCACAAAAATTGTGGATAAATACAATATAAAATTAGGCTATAAATGTAAGAACGACCATAATATTGTAATTGGCGTATACCACTTCTGTATGACCCGACTAGAATATAAATACTTAGACTAATAGCTGTTATTTTATTGACAACATGAAAATTATTGAACAATTAATATAATTACATGACGGAGGAAAAATCGTGAAAAAAGAATATATGGCAAAAGTAGACATTGTAGTTTTAAAAAAACTTAAATGTGATTTTGTGTGCTCTTGGGTTAATATAATATCACCATTTGAAAGGGGAAGGGGGTGTCGTGTTAATTGAATAACACGTCCCATAATGGATTTAACTGATAAAAAGGTAGGTAACGTTTTGGGGTTTTGCATACAGAAAGGATCGAGTTTTCTGTCTCTCATAACCTTTCTGTATGTCTTTCTAATACTGATATTTTGATTTAACATAAGTTCTGTTTTAAGCATATTGATCGTGATGAGCGTATTATTTATATCTTCATCTATGATCAATATGCTTGTGTCATTATAAAATGAGTATTTAAAATCCTCCTCCCTTTACAATGTTTTGTATGGCATTTATAATATATTAATTTATCATTAATGTACAAATACTTATTAGAATATAAAAAGTCATTATTATATTTTGATTTTATTAATTTATAAATTGATTTTTTTTAAAAAAATAAATCTTGAAAATTGAATTGTGATTGATCTATTTAAAAAGAAAATAAATTTTGAATATCATTGCAATTAAATTGATATAATGATTATTATTAATATAGAATTTTACATGGAATTGATGCATAATTATTTTTACTGACAACAGCTTCTTGGGTGTGAATAGGAATATCATCTTGAATAACTTTATAATTGATATAGTAAATGTATTAATCATATTATATTTACATGGAATTAATGCACAATTGTTTTAACTGACAACAGCTTCTTGGGTGAGAATAGGAATATCATCTTGAATAGCTTTATAATTCTTTAGCATCATACAGAAAAATAATTTTTTTGAAGGCAGATTGCATCTATAATATATTAATATAAAATTTATCTATAATTAATATACTCGTGCATTCTTTGGATATAGTAAAATTGTTCTTAACAATCCAGGGTCCAAGGCATGGTTTATTTGTGTATGTAAAGTAAGCAGTATGCTTTTTAAAGTGATTAGGCATAGCCATCTGAAACAGGTATTAGTGGATTATATTTTGTTAAAAAAAATAGTAATAATTTTCCTTAACTAAGATTATATCTTAATTTCAAATAATATAGCCAAAGTATAATATTATTACAAAATACTTTTAAAGTAATAATACTTTATTGAATGTATGATATATCTTAATTTTATTTAAGATAATATTTAAAATATTAGTATTGGAGAATATGTACAATATTTCCTATAGACTGAATGAAGTATTGAAAGGTCTATATTTATGGGCAAGTTGATCTACTAAAATTTAATATTATAATAGAAAACAAAATATCATAATAATACATATCAGATTTGGTCTGGGTAGGATGTGACCCTTTTGATTGATATTACTATATGCACCTTTATATACTATATAAATATAATTATGTAATTATAATAGCATAAAATATCTCCATGTCATATTTAATTAATAGTTTAAAAAAAATTGGTTACCTTTATACTTCCTATTTATATAAACTCAAAGTATTATGCTGGGTTGATTATTGAAAAATGGTATTTAGCTTGTAAATTCAATTTCACCTTTTTTCACCTTTTCGTAAAGCGACAAAACGTATAAAGTTAATAATAATTCGAGACTACGGGACGATACGAGAAATATATAACTACCATATGATATGGTCATATGTGATAGTGATAAATAGGTTAATATAATCTAAGTCAACGTATAGCAATTTTTTACCAACCAAGTTTGCTAAATACCGATCAAAATTTATTAAAATGTTAGGCGTAGCCAGGGGGGGCAAGGGGAAATCCCCCCCCTTCAGAAATTTATCACTTTTTGTAAATATCATTTTTAGCTAATAAAAAATACCCCCCTTAGTCGTACCCCCACTTCCTGACCCTCAAATATGTATGCATTTATCTTAAATAATAATTTGAAAAAGTTGATATTTTTTCATAAAACTATTCATCATAATTTATAGATTTTTAGGAAAATAAATTTATAAATATATAAAATGAACCAAAAATGTTTAAATGGAATATAAGCCAAAGATAAGTCTTAAGATAGAAGTGAAATGTATTATAATTATTAATAATAGATCCATAAAATTACTAAATAATATAATATATCAAATATAATTTTTTATAAAGTGAGTAATTTTAATTTATTTATCTTAATAAAAGTAAAATATAATTATAATTGATAAAATTAAATTATAAATTAAAAAATTATTAAAGCACAATACAAACAGTGGAATATTATATGTCGTAGATTTACAGTATATCTAATTATCAAATGACAATCAAGTAATTTTTACCAATATAGCGAATTATATATTTTACAGAAAACTATAAAATTTTGATAAGTACATCAGAAAATATTTTTTAAAGACATTGTGGGATGAATAATATGAAGATTAAATTTAAATATCATTATTACTTAAAATAAATAGATGGCGTTAAATAATTGAATGCATATTGTTGCTTTATTTAATATCAAGAGCATTGATTAGTAAAATTTGTTAAATTATTAACTGTAATATATTCTCTAACTGTCAAATATGTCTGTAAAAGTGTAATTTTATCTAATATTTTATAACTAATTCTATGTAATAGAGTAAAATCAACTATGTAATAAATTTCTTATAATTGTTTGGAATAAATTATTACCATGCTTTTATATTATGGTATATACAATACAAGTAATTTATTATATTTTTATTTTATATAAACTAATAAAAATATATTTCATATTTGTTCCAGGCCTATTTTTTTTATTAAAATTTGTAATAATATTTTATGACTATATTAGACTAAAGTAACCCGGCCTAAGGCCGGGGAAAAGCGGCTGAAGGCCCACCCAAAAGGTAGTCTGGGGGCGAAGCTCCAGTATTTTTTAATTTCTACCCCCCCCCCCTTATGAAAATCCTGGCTACGCCTATGAATAAGACCCTTATTATTTAACATATATTATAACGTGTAATAAATTATATAAAATATTATTTATAGATATTTTATTAAAAATAGAATGAAACCAATGACATTATGAAACATTCGAATTAAAAATTAATAAATTTGATGTGATTATTTTGAAATAAAAAATAACTAATAAGTAGTCGTAGTCGTTTTATTATAAATGGCGACGAATGGAGAAAATAATTCATTAAATGAAGATTCAAAAAAATCGCGGATTTATCTACGATTAAATTTGATAAATTCGATAACGATACTTCAATTTCTATATAATTTTCTCAATGGGAAGCCAGTTTTCGGTTAAAAAACGTAATTTGCTGGTGCACAAGCGTCATTGTTAGGAATTGATATATGGACAAGTATTGGGCGACCAAAAATTAGGCCAACCAATCCATTGACTGCATATGGTGGTCATCCATTAGACGTTAAGGGCGAGACCCAAGTCAATATTAGGATCTGATCACAGACAAGGACCTTACCAATGGTAATAATGAATACAACTGGGGTGCCTCTTTTCGAATTACCATGGATTATAGCATTCAATTTAGGAATGCCTCGTCAGGTTATGATTAAACACGCAATTTGGTCAACACTATTGAAAAAGAAAAATGTTGCATAACACTAGATTCTAGAATTCGAAATTTGATTAATAAACATCAAGAAATTTTTGATGATAAGATGGGACATATATATATACGTGATTTTGGAGTGCGAATACATTTAAAGGATACCGCTGTACAAGATCGTTTCCAGCCCGTAGGGTACTATTTCGACTTCGCAAAGCAATTGAAATGGAATTAGAACTATTAGAGGCTGCAGGAATTAACGAAAAGATTGATTCGACTATAACTAGGGTACAGTGGTCAACACCAATAGTAAATGTAAGCAAGAGTAATGGCGATATTCGAATTTGTGCTGATTTCAAAGTTACATTCAATCCGTGTTTATTGTATGACCATCATATTATTTTTACCTTAGACGATTTGTTAGAGAAAATCCAAGGTGGTGATAAATTTACCGTGATTGATCTGAAAGATGCGTATTTATAGATTGAAGTAGAATCGAAATCTCAGGAATTATTAACGATAACTCATAAGGGCTTTTTCCGTTACCGACGATTGCCTTTTGGATTGGCAAGTGCACCTACTATATTCCAGAGATATATGGATGATTTGCTAAAAGATTGCCAAATCTGGTGTCTACTTAGATGACGTAGTTATTTCTGGTCGAAATGATGAACACATAAATAATTTACGAATCGTGTTAGACAGATTACAAACGGCAGGTCTTAAGGCGAAATTGACAAAAGTGAGATTTTTACAAAAATAGGTTTCATTTTTAGGGGTGATTATGGATAAATTCGGTACACATCCTAACCCAAAATGCACCAAAACCTAAAAATATACAACTTAGATCTTTTCTTGTACTCGTGAATTATCATGAACGTTATATTAATAATATACATTGTAAAGTGGCGCTATTACATAAAGATTATAAATAACGATTATGACAATTGTTACTTTTCAATAAACAAAATTCCTTCGATAAGGTTACGAAATTATTGTCATCCGAGGAAACGTTAATTCGTTATAACGCGCAGTTGCCTATAATTTTGGAATGCGACGCATCTGATTCAGGATTAGGGGCTGTGTTGTTACATCTATTAGTAGACGAAAGGACAAAACCTATTTCTTTCGCGTCACGTAGAATCACAGAAACACTACTATACGATTGATAAAGAAGCTCGAGCACTTTTATTTGGTATTGAAAAATTTCATTCATTTATTAATGGTAGAAAAATTTTACTTCGAACTGATCATAAACCATTAGAGCGATTATTTGGGGAGAAACGCGATGCAATTGTCAGAAAATATTCTACGAAAAGAGTTGAAGCAAGATTTAATATTTAAAGTAGCAATACACATTCAGCAAAGTTGGCGAAACTTTGATCATCATAAGGATTATGAAATAGTTTATTGAGGAAATCTAACTTTAAAATGTTTGAAGGAAATGTAATGAAATCTATTGCCGCATCACTTTGTTCATCAAGAAACCGTAAACCAACAAAGAAGTTTATTGAGGAAATCTAACTTTAAAATGTTTGAAGGAAATGTAATAAATTATATAAAATATTATTTATAGATATTATATAAAAAATAGAATAAAACATTCGAATTAAAAATTAATAAATTTAATTTGATTATTTTGAAATAAAAAATAACTAATAAGTAGTCATAGTCGTTATTATATAACGGAATCATGTGATCAAATACGGCCTCCTATATATCATCCTTGCAAGAACGAAACCACCAAGTTAGATTAAGAAAAAAAAATGATCATTTCTGGGATTTGAACCCATAACCATAGGATTGGTAAGCGACGTACTTGCCGACTAAGCAGAGGCTTTCCAAAAGTCACGATTTTTCAAATATATATTATAAATATATTTGGTAGTGCCTATCCAAATGAAAAATGAACAAAATTCAAATTTGATAGGTAGTACCTTAAGGTAGTAAGCATCATTAACCTGTCCTCACTACGTCATTCGTGACTTCATGTCATCGCTACGTATTTATTATTTTAATAAATCTTTTTTCAAATCATTCTATTTTATATTAGTTTGCAAGTAAATTATATTATATTGAAACAAATTATATATATGTATTTTAGATATCAAAAAATAAAAATAAATATATATAATATTTGGTAATAGGAAAAAAAAACCCCTGGAAAAAAAAACCCCGGAAAAAAAACCCCCGGAAAAAAAAACCCCCAGGAAATAAAACCCCCGGAAAAAAAAACCCCCAGGAAATAAAACCCCCGGAAAAAAAACCCCTTGAGATTATTTTTATACACTCTCATATTTAAGTATATTCTAGCAATAATTTATATTGAATTGGTATATATACAATTGCAAGTTAATAATTTGTTAAAAATATTATGACCTCATCAACTTTTTGCTGATAGACCATTCATGCTTCCTCCACCCCACCTCCTTCTACTGTCATGGGCCTTGCTAGAGTTGGTGTGCCTCCTATGAATATGATGCACCATCCAAATTTACCCCCCAATATGATGGGTTATTTATATTTACTATTGATTATTAAAACGTTATGTATATATTCTAAATTATTAAAAGTAACTGCTTGCATAAATAGGCCAATCCAAACAGATTTTTTTTAAAATACAAATTTATTTAAGCAGATAATCAATTTTTAGAAATACATCTATATATAACCTGATTGGTTGTTAGCAGCCAGTATATAAAGAAATTGAAACTTAATTCATGCATATTTAAAAGATGAATATTGAAATAAATTCGTGATTTATTATAATAGAAACAAATATACATTCACCCAATATACAATTTAATTCAGTTGAAACCATTAAAATGCAAATGGAAAATACTCAATTTTTTTGCATTTGGTATTTTGAATAAATGTGATAATTTTAATTTATTCATGATTTCTCACCTCATTGATATGCAACTACCTTTAGTTTTTAGCTTATTAAAAGTTTTAAAATGTATTTTTAATCAAAAGAATAAAAATTGTTTATTAATTAAAAACGCTATGATTGGTATTGTTTTAAAATGTATTTTTAATCAAAAGAATAAAAATTGTTTATAAATTAAAAACGCTATAATTGGTTTTTAGACAATTGCAAGTTAATAAATATTATTGCAGCAACTAGTTAAATGAACAGATATTAAAATGTATTGTTATAAAATGTATTTTTAATCAAAAGAATAAAAATTGTTTATAAATTAAAAACGCTATAATTGGTATTTATTTATAAAATTAAACAATAATAATTTGGATCTTTATGCCGTATATAAAAGACAAAAAAAAATTAAATTTACAAAAATATTTTATTCATAAAATTTATATTTTATAAAAAAAAATTAAATTTACAAAAATATTTTATTCATAAAATTTATATTTTATAAAAAAAAATTAAATTTACAAAAATATTTTATTCATAAAATTTATATTTTATAAAAAAAAATTAAATTTACAAAAATATTTTATTCATAAAATTTTTATTTTATAAAAAAAATTTAATGGATCTTATTCATCCTGGAAAGCTCATATTTGAAGGTTATTCTTATACCATACATAAAAAATGCTCAAACAAGATTAGATGGCGCTGCTCAAAGTATTCTTCTTTTAAATGCCGAGCAGTACTTTTTTCAACACTCGATAATCAAGACCCGGTTCTTGATACAGCTCATAATCATCCATCAAATATTGATGGACTAGTAGCAATGAAATCCATTGCTAACATGAAGAAGCGATGTGCAGACTCTTTGGCAAAACCTCTTCAAATTTATGCAGAGGAAATTGTAAAATTAGACCAAAAAGTTCAGTCGCATATGTTATCGGAAGATTCTATAAAAAGAACTCTAAGGAATCACAAAGCAATGCAACACCCTTCAAATCTTGAGAATTTGGAAGACCTAGTTATTGAAGGTATTGCTTTAAATATAATTATATTTTCATAAAAATTTAAATATTATAGGTGATTGGGCAAATGGTGGCTCCCAGAACTCAAAACGATTTTTATTATTTGATAATGGCCCACAAGCTGAAGAACGCATAATAATGTTCGCAACAGATGATTCCTTGAATCTAATATCTAATAGGACAGAGTGGTATATGGATGGTAATTTTGCCATGTCCCCAAAAAATTTTCTACAATTATATGTGATTAGAGTAGCAATAAACAATATTTTTATTACAGCGGTTTATTGTGTACTCCAGAAAAAAACTCAAAGTACATATGAAATAATATTTCAAACAATAATGTCTAAATGTCAGGAAAGGGATTTATTTCCTGATCCATTATATATATACATGGATTTCGAAAAGTCTGCTATGACCGCGGTTAAGAGTATCATTGGTATGATTATTAATATGTTTAATAATTTATATTTATTTTTTCAATTAGGGGATCACATCGTAATTAGAGGATGTTTTTACCATTTGTGTCAAAGTACACATAGAAAAATTCAGAAGCTGGGTCTGGAAAGCGAATATAGGACGGATGAAACTCTAAGTTTTTTTTGTGGCATGATGGACGGCTTAGCATTCGTTCCGTTATGTGATATGGATAATGCAATGACATTCCTTAGATCAGTTACTCCGAGCAATGGTAAGGACATTCTCGATTATTTCGATAAAAATTATGTCAATGGAGTATCAAGGAATGTCATGAGAAGCAATTCTCAATCCCAAACACGTCGAATTGAGCCTCGATTTCCTCCAGAAACCTGGAACGTGAATCAGAGTACTCTCTCAGATGAAGAACGAACAAATAATCAATGCGAAGGTTGGAATCATCGTTTTTCTAATCTGGTTGGTAATAAACACCCATCAATCTGGGTACTCATTAAAAAAAATGAAATGCGAAGTGGCTGCCGACGAAACCAAACTTGAAAGATGGCGCGTAGGTAGTTGGACATCTAAAACAAAATCGCAGAGTTCTAACAACCAGATTCGGCTAAAGAAACTTTGCGAAGAATACCGTGATGGGGTGCGAAGCCTTCCGGATTTTATAAGAGCGATATCCTTCAATATTCGATGTCAACCAATATAATTATTATTATAAATTATAAAATTATATATACATAATCATGGTTTACCAATAAATTAAACATTTCTTATTTCTAAGTTTTGTCAAATTTAGTCTATTTAATATCATATTTAAAGATGGTATTGTATTTTTACTATAGAAAATTTTTTTTACAATACATAGTTATTTTACTGAGGCATTTTTTCCCAGTACCAATTTAAACATCAGTTTTTCTTATTTAAGAATTTTTTTATGAAGAGTAGACCGGTCTTAAGTAAATTCTATAAAAATGAAAAAAAATTATTGGGGAATTTTTTTCCGGGGGTTTTTTTTCCTGGGGATTTATTTTCCGGGGGTTTATTTTCCGGGGGTTTTTTTCCGGGGTTTTTTTTCCAGGGGTTTTTTTTCCGGGATTCATAATATTTTTAGCTGATTCATATAAACTACTTTTTTAAAAATAGTTTAAAAAAATATATGTAGAGATGATAAAATAAGGTAAATACAAGTATAATATTTATTTTTTTAATTAATAATTTAAGATATGTATACTATAATAATAAAGAATATTTTATATAAAATAATGAATTTATTTTATAAAATTATTTTCCATTCTTTTCTTTCTTCAGTAAAAATAGGAATATTTTATAAATAATTTAAATCAATTTTATAAACATTTATTTATGTTACTATTATTTCTATCTTATTGATATTATATTTAAATTATATGAACATAATATTTATTTAAACATAATGTCATCCATTTAGACTTCGATCTCACATGATAGTTATACCAATAATGGGTTTAAATTTTCAAAGTGTGGATATAAATCCGCTACACTAGATATACGCTCTAAAGGGTATTAATATTAGCACCTCCTTTACTATAGAAAAGCACTTATTAACCCCTCTTCAGGTTTTATTTAAAAAGAATAATAAGTTATATATTCTTTCCTTTTTCTTCCTTTTTTCTTTTCCATTTCACTGTTCCTTTTCTCCCTTTTTTCTTTACCTTTCAATTTTTATAGGGTTATTAAGATGCTGATTTGGGTCGGTTTACAAAAACGACCCTATTATTATTTTAAACAAAATAATATTATATAAGCCTTGAGATTTGGCAAAATTTAGGTACAAACATTTTTGCCATTTACTATCAAAATCTTCAGCCTTACAAATTATTTTGGCTAAAATCTTAATTGGGTTGTTTTTAAAAATAGACCCAAATAAGACTTTTTTTACAATCCTACATTCTCTCTCTTGCCTTTTCTTTTCATTATTCCCTTTTTGCTTTCACCCTTTCTCTTTCTCCTCTTTTCTTTCCCTTTCCTTTACTTTTTTCTTACTCTTTCCCTAGCCTTTCCATTTTTTTTCTCTTTACCTTTTCCTCTCCCTCTCCTTTACAGATTTTCTTTCCTTTCTCCTTTCTCATTTTCTTTTTATTCTCATTTTCCTTACCCTTTCTTTTTTTCCTTTATCTTTCTTTCCCTTTACATTTTTTTCCTCATTTCTTCTTTTTCTTACTCTTTCATTTCCTTACGCTTTTTCTTTTCATTTTTCTTTCACTCTTTCTTTTTTATCTATTCTTTCTTTCATTTTCCCATTTTCTCTCTTTTTTATTTCATTTTTCATTATCCCATTTCTTTTCCTTTTTTTCTCACCTTTTTTCTCTTTTCCTTTTTCATTTCATATTTTACTTTTTCTTTTCCATTACCTTATTTTTCTTTCATTTTCCCTTTTCTTTCCGTTTTTATTTTCATTCTTTTGCTTTACCTTTATCTCCACTTTTTCTTCCATTTCCATTTCCCCTTTTTCTTTTCATTTTTCTTTCACATTCCCTTCTTCTCTATTTTTTATTTCACTTTCCATTATTCCGTTTTCTATCTTTTTTATCACCCCATTTCATTTTTTCCATTCTCCCCCCCCCCGCCTATTCTTTCTTTTCTTTTTTTTCCTTTTTCATTTCATAATCCCTCTGATTATTTTGTATATCTCACAAAAAAATATGTATAGTACATTATTTTTATTCAATAAATAATATATAGGATTTTATATTTATTCCAAAAGACGATATATTTTAATATTTTTAGATTTTATTAAAATTATATATCTATTCTTAAGGATCCTACCTTTTTTAACAATACTCCTTTTTATTCCTGCTATTTATTTAAATAGAATTTTACATTTATTCCAAAAAATAATACATAGTACTATATTTATGTTATTTAAATTTATATTCACAAGGATCTCCGAATAGTATTTTATTTAAGTCCTACCTTATAAAATGAGAATTGGTCCCCCGAACATTCGTCTTTATTCGCAATATACTTACTATTTTGAATAATAATGGAAAAGGAAAACATACACTAAATTTATCTGAAAAATAACAATAAACCAATATAATAAACAACAATTTATTTTCTAGTATTATAATTGATCATAGTAAAAAAAGTATAAGAATCATTTATTTTTATTTGATGGATAACAAATTATAAAATCTGATTTTTTTTTAAATTTAATTTTAGTTATGTAGTACCAATTATTATGGTCTTGAACCGGGCTTGAGGAAATTTTTTCAAAATCATCATGGGTTTGGACCTGGTGTGGGTTTTTTTTATATTTAATATTAGCCATAGGTAATCAGTAATATTTTAACAAACAATTTTGATATGGGCTAAAAGCTTTAAATATATTTTGACTCAATAATATTCACTCTTAGTCTTAATGGGTTGGACTTGACCTCAATGGGAGGGTGCGGGGGGGGGGGGTAAAAAAATAAAAACTATATATGATTTTCAAATAAAAGGTAACATCGTCCTAAAAGAACGAATAAAATTCTTATTCCCCGTTATTTTTGACGGGCTATCCAGTGTCTACGTGGCCGGAGGGGGGGGGGGGGGGTAGGAGACAAATGCCTCCAAAATATATTGGCATTTTGGGGGGTATGTATTAATTATTGATTGATTTTTGGAGGGTAGGCATTAATTTTTTGGGGGTAGGTATTGATTTTTGGGGGGTGATTTTTTATTTGAATTATAATATTTTTAAATCCATTAAGATACGATTAAGATGGATATCGTTGATTTTCTGACAAATGTCAATTAAAGTAAAGATATTTGTCAATTAATAAATAATATAAACTTTCTTTGTGAACCATTTTCATTTACCATTTTATCAAGTTAATATTTACAAACACATTTCCTATTTGGTACTTTTCTTAGAGGTTAACATATTTATATTATGTTTTTTAATAAATTTCTAGATTTTTTTAGCAGGATAAATTTTAATTAACAATTAGAGGTAATTTTTACAATAGTAATATATTATATTCTGAATAATTATATAATAAAATGAGTCATGCTTAAAAACATATATCAGCTGGCAAAGAATAATAAAAAACATAATATGTAAAAAGTAATATTCTAATAATTATTTCATTCTAGATGCCAAGTAACAGAACCTTATTTAAAGTGAAATCTGATTATATTAATTGTAAAACTTATAAGAAGTGACAAGATACATGAACATTCTAAACATAAATATCTTCATGTCAAGTCAGCTGTTATGAAATTTACAAAGGTAGCCATCAAAAGAGATAATAATAATTGGGTATCCTTAAATGGTGATATTCCATATAATATCACAAATGGAGTTAAAACCCAGTTGCAAAAAAAGACAATAACATCTTACTTCCGAAAAGTAATATTTTTTATTTATTATTGTAACTAAAGAAAATAAATATAATTGAAAATATACCTTAAATTTGTGAATTAATAGAAACTGACTCTTCATTTAAAATTTTACCAGAATACTTTAAATATTTATATTAAAATTAAAGTAGGCAGGGTATAGAGAAAATAAATTATATTTTTTATTATTAAATATTTTTTTTAACTGTTTATCACACCATTTTTATATCTATATATATACTTTATAAAGTTATATTCAAGGTTGCCATGCCTCCCCCCATCAGTGGGAGTCTCCCACAATTTTTTAGTTTACCCACATACATCTCACTCCCACAAAACTCCCACAATTCGAAATCTCCCACAATCTCCCACAAAAATCTCCCACAATTTTTTAATTTCTCCCACAATTTTTTTTTAGCATTTTAATGTTTTTAATATATAAATAATAATTTTGAGAAACAGTATTTGATTATTTTTATATTTTTAAAATAAATTTTAAATATTTATTCGAAAAATATGTCTAGTTCTTTTATTTTATTTTTCCGCTAATTTTAAATTCTCCATCCAATCCAATTCATTCGACATTTTCAAAATTTAAAGTTAGAATAGTATGTATAATTATTATAAATATATTTTAAATTTCTAGATTCTATAATTGCAGTGCTCCACTCAACATTTTCATAGAAGAATAGAACTTTTAGAAGTGGATTACTTTGGTATTTCTGCAGCATAATTTAGTGAGCCTTTATTAAATTATATTCTTCTGATTGCAACTGCATATTAACAGCATATAGTAGATTTCCTATATGTAAAATTCCTAAATATACTTCTGCCATTTATTTTTGAAATTTTTTTTCAAATAGGACAGCTTTTATAATCTATTTATTTTTTAAAGGTTTGTAAAATTTTAAAATTCTACGATGGCGCTTATTAGGAGGAACCTGTCAACCAACATTATGCTGACTCAATTCTGTAAATACACTATGGTTTTTGCCAAATTCACTGAGGAATTATCAGATCAGAAAGCTGCCATGCAATTCATTGGTAATGCCAAATCTGCCATATTTACCATTATATATGGTTAGCTATGTCTTTGGATATTTCATATCTGGAGAAAATTTTTTTAATAGTTTTATTGAAATGACATTAATTTTGTTGAAATAGGGGAGGATCAAGGGAAATGTTTTGATATCTCCTTATTAGATGCATCTGTTAGAATTGCATATGCTTGCACATCTTTCAAATCGTCAAGAATTGACCTTCTGGATTTATATTCTAAAACATTGTTGATAGCCTTGCTCATTTTGTGTTCTACAAAGTATACTTTTCATTTATATTAGTCGTTAAATATTATGGGGAAAGATTCTACCAACATTGAGATGTTGAGTAACTCTCTGAATGTTGTACTGCATGAT